CATTTTGTATATTTCCCTGTGAAGTCTTGGTTTAGATTCTTAATCTTTGTGTGGTGGGGAAGGGAGCGGCATCACTGTGTGATGGACACATGACACAGAGCATCTGTCACAGCCTGTAGAGCTTTACAGCACAAAGTGAGCCTTAGTGTCTGCAAGTTTAAAAAATGTATTAGGTTAGGGGATCTCAGGTTGGAGTGCAGATGGTGGCAGGACAACCCACGAAGTCACAAACTTGTGACATTGCCTCCCTGGGGACCCAGTGCTGCCTGGGTCCCTGCTCTTGGCACGTGCTCTGTTAATGAAGTCAGTCCCCACAGGGTGCAGGGAGTGGTTCCCACATTGCCATCCAGTGACTGCCGTGGGAGTGGGGCTTCTCACTGTTGGGCGAGAGGTTCCAGGTCAGCAGGGGTGGAGCCTGGAGGGCCCCCTGTTCTGATGGTGGAGACTGGAGTCTGAGGCCGTGTTTAGCCACATGTAGATGCAGATGGATGCACATAAAGATATCATGGATATGTGTATACACACCAGTTAGTACACAAAACACATCCTCGCTGTATCAGCTGAGGGTGTCTGGGGGCGATGACACCCCAAGAGCAGCAAGCACATCCCGTGCCTAGATTGGGGTCTCTTAGTCCTCCAGTAAAAGGACCCAGTCTCCTTTGAGAAATGATTCTGGGACTGCTAGCGGAACTGAGGCAGGAAACACACAAGATGAGCCTGGAGTCCAAGAATCAGTCTCCCAGCCCAGAGGAGCCCAGGGAGACAAGACAGTTAAATGTCACGAGGGGCCTGGACAGAGGCTTGAGACAGAAAGAGGACACTAGGGGGAAAGTAAGGAAATGTGAATAAAGTTAAAAAAAAAAAAGAAAAGAAAAAACCCCCACAATGAGCTACCACTACATACCAGTGTTGTTTATAATGGCAACAAACTAGAAACTATTAAACAGAGGGCTAGTTAAATAAATGTTAGTTTATGCACACAGTGGAAGAGTGCACAGCTCTAACAAAGTGTGGGGAGCAGAATCCCCTGCCCCGGCCCGATCATGCTGTCGGGAGGACGCAGCTCTTAAATAAACTACTCCTGTGTGAGGCCGGAATACATATTCATGCTTATTCATTAAAACAGAACTTTAAAACTCACCCACTCAAACGTCAGACTGTTAAGTTGTACACCTGAAACTAATATAACGTATGTGTCAATTGAACCTCGACAAAAAAAATTTTTAAATAAAAACCCACGCTGGGTCGTGAGCTCGGCTCGTTTCCCGGGTCTCCTGTATGCGAGGTGAGAGCAGCTGGACCCCGAGTGGAGCTGTCCGGTTGGCTCAGGTTCCAGGTGGAGAACTGCCACCTGCCACCCGCTGAGGCCGCATCCCTCCCCGCAGAGAGGCGAAGGCGCACTGCAGCTGCAAGAGCCTGGCCGAGCTGGTTCCAGGCGCGGGCGGCATGATGTCGCTCAGGGGCAACGCCAGCGGCAGCAAGATCAGCATCCTCCTCAGCAAGGTGGGTCCCTCCCCTCAGGGCCTCTACCCCAGCCTCCCCTCTCACCTGGGTCTCCTCTGCCTCCCCACCTTCCTTCACGTCCTGTTTCATCAGAAGCAGTGGTTTCTGCTCTGCAGAGCCCCTCACCTCTTCTCTTTTCTGCCTCTTTCCGTCGCCCAACTTAATTCTCTGGGCACAAGGGGTGACAGGACCGTGGAAAGGACCTTCAAGCCTCTTGCTTAGAGAGACTTGAGTCTTAGGAGGTCATGGGTATGAAGGAGGCCGGTGGCCAGGTGGCCGGGTGGGAGGAGCTGGTGCCTTCCCACCCAGCAATCTGTTCCCGCTCCCACCTACCCACTCGCTCAGCATTCAAGAGGGTCGCCCTCCGTGTACCAGACGCTTTGCTGGCACTGTAGACACAAACTGGTGGGTTAAATGGGGCTTGGCTCCTCCCCTGGGGATGAGCAGACTTGGTCCTAGTGAACTTTCACACCCCTGGTGAGAGCCAGGAGGACAAGTGTGCAGGGGTGGAAGGCAGCAGCAGGTGGAGTCTCTATCGGGCCGTTCTGGAGGCTTCCAGGGAAGGTGGAGGTTGAGCCAAGCTCTGGACTTGCCAGGTGGGTGAGGGGTGGGGGCACAGCCCTGTTGAGGCACCAGAGAGTAAGCCCGTGGCAGAAGCATGGCCTCACTCAGGTCAGCAGTCCCTCACAGGGGGCGAGGAGTGGGCCATGTTGTCAGTGGGCCATCACACAGCGGAAGCACCATTTGGGACCCCTTGCAGCCATACTGGCGAGGGGCTGGACTGGGGGAGGCAGGAAGGGAACTGGATGAGGAGCCTTTTGGATGTGGGTTGAAAAGTTCAGTTGTTGGATTTAAGGCGTTGAAGGGGCGGCCAGTGGGTATTTAGACACAAGTCCAGTTCTCAGCAGGGAGGTCTGGCTGGAGGTGAGGGTCCTCCAGCCCAAGGAGCAGGGTGGACCTGGGGAGGCCGAGGGGGTTGGGGTAGCCGGGTTGATGGTGAGGGGACAGGCAGACACTGTATACCGGGCAGTCCTGGCTACTCATCACTTCAGTGGCTGGGACAGTGCCCAGATATACGTGCACAGGCCGGGACCTGGGGCTCACTGGCAGTGGGGAGGGCATCCAGGATGTGGCACAGGAGGTCCTGGGCAGTCCTTTGAAGGGCCTTTTCCACCATGCTGGGTGTGGACGCAGCTGAGAATCAGGAACTGTGCCCAGCGACCACTGTCTCCAGAGGCCTGAGTCTCAAGAGCAGAGCCAGCTTGGGGGAACCCAACTTTCAGAGCAGGGTCGGGAAATGCTCGCCCTAGTAAAAGAAAAAATCAAAGAGGAAGTTCAGCAAGCATAAGGGGTCTCACAGTGAAAAATAGCTCCCCGGCCTCACTGGCACTCCCCAGGGCAGTGGGCTTTGGGGAGGAGAGACCGTGTCTAGCCACAGTGCTTAAAGGAACAGGAGGAGGAGGACAGTTGGAGCCCCTATTCTTGCAGCTGAGGGTAGGGGTCTGGGGTGGACACTGAGTCTCTGACAGTTTTTCGTGTCCCAGATGCTGCTTTGTTTGTCATTTTGCTTGTGGAACTGTGATGACTAGAAGCTCGCTTTTTTGTTATATTTGACCTGTTGATGGTTTTAGTTTGTGGTTTCTTCCACTGCTCTTAAGCTTGCAGTATCTTCTTTTGTCTAAGGTATTGGCAACTTTTCTTTTCTTTCCTTTGCTTTCTTAAGCAAGCACATCCCTTTAGCATCCGCAATCTGTGGGAGTAAAGCTTTAACAGCCTACCTGAGTTCTTGGTACTTTGCCCCAACAACCAAATTGGTTCCCTTTTCTCAGCTTTTCTGAAGCTTCCCTATGGCGTTGACTTGACTTTTATTCACCCGTGAGAGACTTGGTTTGGCAGAACCCCAGTCCCCCCACCCCGTTCCCAGGGTTCACCCACCCCAGGTAGGAGGGCATCACACTCAGGTCCACCCTGAGAACAGCTGTCTAAGTCCTGGTCGACCTCCACAGTCTGAGAACTTGTCCTCGGTTTTCTGAACCTATAAAGTAGTATTCGCACAACTGTTTCAGTGGGATGAAGGTAAGCTGACGGTTGAATTACGACCGGGGGGAGGCGCGGGAGTGGCCAGGGGCAGGATGCCGGTGTCTCTCCCAGGCAGCGGTGTGTCCGCGGGCCGGTCCCCGAGCTCCAGCTCTCTCCTCCCCAGGCTGACAACAGCCCCGATTCCAGAATCTGCTTCTACGACGTGGAAATGGACACGGTGACCATCCTTGACTTCAAGACGGGACAGATTGATCAGAGAGAGATGTTGCCCTTTAATGGGCAGGAGACTAAGAAGTAAGATGGTGGTTTGGGAGGATTTTGTTGAGAAAAACATTGAGACTGACACTCAGTAACTTGTTGGCTTCGAGGCAGTTTGTCCCTAAGTTTTCTTCACACTCAGGAGAGCGCAGGGATTACTAGTGGTGGAAACTAGAGGTTAAACCAGCCAACTCCCTGGGCAGTCGGGGTGGAGTTGAGTCTCTAGTCTCTGTTTTCCAGGCTCTGAGATTCTGGAGTCACCAGTTGGGAACTTGAACTTCTGAAGAGTGTGACCCAGGTGTCCTCAAGGGCAGCCCCATATCATGGGCAGAGAGCCGGAGGGAGGGCATCTGTCTGGGTGGAGAGACTCTTTCTGAAAACACAGGGATCCTTCTTTAGGGAGTTGAGGTACTACATGTGCACCAAGGAGACATAGCGTTTAAGTGCTCAGACTGCCCCACTGATGGAGTGCAGAGCAGCCCTGGGGCCACCGGGGCAGGGCGGGGCGGGGCCTGCCTTTGACGTCCTGCCCCCTTTGCTCCTGTTGCAGCCCCCTTCCCATCCAGCCTTACCCACGGGATCTCCCCCTCCTAGAATCTTCTCTAGAACCTTCTTTCTTCTGGTGGCTTAAAAGCACACCTGTTGGTGGCCCCACCAGAACACAGCTGTCTCCCCTTCTCACAAGTTCAGCCCCACTTCTCTGTCTTCAGACGTCCCCTTGAGTTTCTTGCTGTCATCTTGAAATCGACCCTAACTTGGCCTCAACCCTCAGAGCCCTGTCCTTGTCACCTGGTCCAAAACCTCGAACTGACCATTCCTTTAACTCTCACCACCTGTGACTCTCATCCCGTTTTTCTCATTTTGAAAATGTCTCCCAGGCTCATGCTTGCCCCGTGACTCTCTGTCAAGGTCACAACCTTGTATCTACCTACACCTTTGGCCAGGCCAGTGAGGGAGACCAGGGAACACCTATCTACCTGCCGTCTTCCTGTTGGTCCAGGTGCAGGACATGTAGGACTTGGTGACACCTGTGAGGGCTACTGGTATCCTGGGGGGTCGGGTCCAGGGCTCCTGCCCAGCCACCCCCACACATGGAGCTCATCTGGGCTTGTCACACTTTTCCGGGTGGCGGTCAGAGGAGGCGCACGGTATTCCGTCAGGCACCTGCCCTCTTTTGAGACCTGATCCTTCTGTGCTGCCCAACCCCTTTGTCTCCCTGTGGTACCACATCTAGTTCTGGGCCATGAAACGTGGAGTTTTAGAGGTGGGAGGGAACTGGCCAGACTGCTGGGCACCCTGGCCCCATGAGATCCACCTGCTGGGCCTGGGAAGGGCCACTGCTGGTCATCAGGACCCCCATGGAGCCTCAGGGCTACAACATCAAACCCGCTCTCTCCAGCCAGACTGTTTGGCAGTCATGTCCAGTCTGAGAGAACCAGGGCAGACAGCTGCCTCACAGACTCCGCCTGTAGGAGCTGATGGAGCCCCACCTGCCAGTCATGAAGGCTGAGTTCACAGCCCTTCCAGGCACAGGGACTTGTGTTTCTCTTGCAGGAGCCAGGCCCTCGCAGATGAGAGGCTGACAGATCTGGTTCCCATGAGCCACTTCTGGGACCAGAGCGAGCCCACGCTGTTCGTGTGCGAAGCCATGTGTGAGGTGCCAGGCTCCCAACCACAGCCCGCAGACAGGAAGTCCGTGGCCCAGGACGGCTCAGGCCCCACGGTATCAGCACTGTCGCGATCATGCTTAGATGCAGTGTCACAGCAGCACCCCATCTTCCCAGTGGGGTTCATGGGGGAGCTGCAGGGAATGGGTCCAGGGAAGCAAGTGCCCACCCCGGTGCCTGGGGATGTCTCCCTGCTGGGCTCACGTGCCATTTTCTCTCTTGGGGATAGCTCTTGATCAAAACAGGTAACCTGAACTCACCCCTCAATGTCAGCATGTCCTGTAGGGGCCAACTCCACATTTGTTCCCTGAAACAATCGGCCTCCTTGCCTTGGTCCCTGCCCTCCGCCCTCACCCTTCCTGGCCCTGGGGGCCTCTCTCCCCAACTGATGCCCCATCTCCCCTCATAGGGCCAGGAGTCCGATTCTTTCCCCAAGTCTGTGGGACTTCCAGAGATCCCTGGGAAAGCCCGGAGGCCGTATGTGTCTCTCTGAACCCACCTCGTTCTGAGAGGGATTATATGTAGGTCCTCAGTCAGTCAGCCAAGCCCCGCCACTCCTAAAGCTTGACTTGTCTCCCTGCCAAAGGAATTTCCCTCTAGGACGTAAGAGTCTGGAGCCCCTGAGGTTACTAGCAGTTGGTTTCCACACCCAGAGGTTCTCAGAAGCAAATCCAGGCCTTGGTTCTGAAACACTGAGGGGTGAGAGATATCCAGGGGTCTGGGGACCCATGAGTGGATGGTGAGGGCATGTCCTTCCCCTGGTCTTTTGTAAAGAGGGTGAGACCCTGTTGGAACTCACGCAGCAGGGACAGGCTCTCGCCCCCTCAGCCTCTGCTGCATTTCCTGGGCAGAGGGGCTGCAGCCTCTCCGTTGCACCCTCCCCAGGCCCCAACAACAGACAGAATCTCCATGTCAGAGGAGAGCAGCTGAAGGCGTAACTCTTGAAACGTGGGAGTGCTTGAGTTTCATTCACCAGCCCGGGTGTCCACCACAAGATCAGTGAGATGGGTCTGGCAGTTCTCAGGCTGAACGAGGCACATCCTCCGGGAGGGCATCAGACCCCAGCTGGGCCTGATGTGGTCACCTTGCGCCCTAAGGAGGAAGCAGGCTATCTGTGGACAAGTGGTTCACTCCTGCTTTCTCAGCAACTTTCATCAATGTCCCGGCAATGAAAATGGGCTTGGATGCAGAACAGGACAGTTACTGCTCAGCTCAGATGGCATGTCTCCCTCTGCAGGCAGACGTGTTGGTCTTATCCTTCTTCATCTCTGAAGAGCACGGCTTCCTGTTGCAAGACAGCTTCCCCCGGCCTCCTGCCTTCCAGACACTCCTGGGACTCCAAGTGCCCCACTATTACTTCACAAGAAAGGTGGGAGCCCTCGGCATGTGCGTGTAGCCCTGTTCTCGGGTGCCCTGCCCCCCTCACCGGGGGCTCTCATTAAACAAGGCAAACCGCCTGCCCTAATTTGTCCCCTGAGATCCCAGCAGATCCGATGTCTCCTGTGGGGATGTTGCAGGCAGGCTTTGCTCTCGGGATGACGGGTAGCAGTGCTGGTGAGGGGCTCCCTGCAAGCATCCCGCCAAAGCGCCTTGCCCTCACCTTTCCTGTCTTTTTTTGTTTTTTGCTTTTTAAAAATTACATATTCTTACTCACTGTAGGAAGTTTAGAAACTGCAAATAAAGACCAAAGATGATGTAAATCTCTGTGGTTCCAGCCCTCAGAGGTGGTCACTGGGAAAGGCTGGCGGGCAGTCTTTCAGGAGGTTTCTGTCCTTAACCTACATATTTGCATGTTACGTACACAGGTGTGGTCTTTAACTTTTGATTGAATGGGGTCATTTTCAGCACATAGGACCCCAACAAGGTTATTTTGGACGAGTTCTTTGCCTCCCTAGGACTTGGTCTCCACGTCTCCATGGTCCCTTCTAGATCTGAAATCAGCCACCCTCTGGCGCTGAAATGCTCTGCTGATCGGTGTGGTCGTGTGTCTGTGGAGGGGTGGCAAGCGCGGTGCAGACCAGCTGAAACCCTGGCTAAGTGACCTGTTCTCAGCCGGGCACCCACACCACCTGTGGATTCACAGGTGCACAGAGGAGCCTGTCATTCACACCTTCCGTCCTGCGGGATCGGGGACACACCAGCTGATGCTGCTTTTATTCTTGGAAAATCTGCAGACACCTCCCCTCATCAGCTCTGTGATCTTCACTCCCATTTCTATTTCTACTGTTACATCAGAGGGAAGGATTGAACTGTGTAGATTTTCACTTGAATTTTTTTGCCTTTTAACATAAGGTGACTTAAAAATCAACCCTATATGGGAACTTTGTATTTTCTGCAATTAGCCAGTGTTACTTTTGTAGCCAAAGGTGGGGGGGGTGGACCCCAGAGGACCCCCAGAGATGGCAGATGTGTGTCTGAGCTTGGCCGTCTCTGCCAGCCCAGGAGCAGAGGCCTCCTGCCTGTGTGATCAGCTGTCTGGTGAGAACCCAGAACACAGGTCTCTTGGCTCCCAGGGCTGTCACCCACTGACAAGGTTGGCGCGAAGGCCCAGGGTAGGTTGTCTACTCTTTGCTCTGTGACCGTCCTGGGGCAAGCAGCATGGGTCTATGTGTCTCTGGCTGGGTTGGGGCCCTCGTGCTGTGTGCCCACCCCGAGACCACGAGTCGGGCCACCACATGAAACAGCATCACCAGCCTTCAGGTCAGAAAACAGCAAAGTTTTCTGAATCCCCTCCTCTAAATAGATTAGTGCCACCAGGCCAGGATTTTTCTGAATTTCAGTCATATTTAGTACTTTTTTGCGTTTTCATTCCTCTTTGATTTGACACTTGAAACATAGTGGAAGTGTTTAAGTTCCTTCTTGTGGGCTTGTTTCCCACCGTCTGTGCCTCGTCCTCCCCTTGGCTCTCAGAGCTGTTGTCCCAGAAGGGGCATGTGTGCTGCTCCCACTCGGCTGCCTGTTACCTGAGCTTTGCCATTTTCCCAAGATGTTTTTCTTTACTTTAAGCACCGGTTGTCTGTGCGCTGATGGCTCCCACCTTGCTCGCCCCCTTGGCTGAGGTTTTTCGGGGGCCTGGCGTGGGGTCAGCTCCTTGCTGGGGCGACACGAACGGTCTGTCACCTGACACTTGAAGAACAAGAGGAAGTTCACTTACCTGTGTTTGCAACAGAGGGAGCCTTATTTATTTGACATCTAAGTGTGTGAGAGGAGTGGCCACACAGTGTGTGCTTCTCTGAAGCGTCCACGCCCCTCGGCCCGGCATCCTGAGGTTCCCGTCTGCACGCGTGCGGGTGTGGTGTGGGCTGAACAGCCCTGTGGCCCTGTTGCTCCCTCAAGAGATGGGCAGGCAGCGTGGTGAGCTATGACCACAGGTGCTCTCGTTTCTGCCACAGTTCCTGTATATGCCGCAGCGAGAAGGACTCCAGTTAGAACCAGACACCAGAGCCACAGAAAGGTTGACAGAGGTCAGGATGCTGCCTCGTAGTTTTGTGTGTCCATGTTCTGGGAAGGTTTCCCACTTGGTGCCAAAGCAGTCCAAACTTGAGCACTCAGTTTCCTACTTTGTGTGACCCAGCCACATTCAGCCCCAAACACTGAGTTTAAGGTGCCCTGGACCAGACTGCATCCGGGCCCTGCTTGCACTCTGCTCTATGCCCTGAGGGGTCTCACCATCCACACCTGGGCCGGACAGATCCTACGGGATTTCAAGGCACAGGCCTAAAGTTGAACTTCAGAAAGATCAGTGACACAGAGGGGCTGCTGGAGACTGAGCCAGAGGAAAGGTGAAGGAGTCAAAGTCCCAGCAGATATGCAACAGATGGGCAGGGGT